CGGCAGGAGCAGCAACAGCAGCAGGCAGTGTAGGGGACACTCCACCAGAATGAAATGTGTGGGAATTTCTACCTAGTCTTTAAACAAGAGAACTTCTAGATGCTTCTGTAAATGCAGGAGTCAGTTTGATCTTGCATCAAATCTTCCGTGTTCTAGTAAATTTGCTTGAGTAGTTGCCCTCAGAATGCAAGGCCAGGAGACTTCCTGCTCCCACTGCTACATGGAGCCCGAAGCATTGGGCGCTGAGCTGACTCCAGACTGGAACATCCACCCCAGTTCTGGCTCAGACGCAGGACATCATCAACGCCTAATTGACTTCCTTTTCTCTTCTGGAGCTCATCTCATGATCTTAAGCTTTCTATAAACCTTTTTAACCATAACCCTTTGAAATCCCGTAGTTTAGATGCTAACAGAAGAAAGCAGAAATTCTCCCTGTCATCTGGGCTAAGCCCCTCCTTTTGCAACAGCAGCACCTCCTCCAGCCAACCCCAGAAGCAGTTCTATCCTCTTTAAACGTATTGGTCATATCCTGGCCTCACTGTCACCAGGAACGAGGTCTCCCTTCAGATCTATAAATCTGTCCCATCAACATTTCAACATGCTTAAGTATCTTCTCCCTGGAGAAGGAAATGGCAACCCACTCCGGTACTCTTGCCTGGAAAATCCCATGGACAGAGGAGCCTGGTAGGCTACAGTCCATGGGGTCGCAAAAAGTCGGACATGACTGAGCAACTTTACCTTACCTTACCTTAAGTATCTTCTGCCGGATAAAAAGAAAATCTTCCTCAGCCATGTGTTCCTTTCCGGCTACTCCCCTTTCTTCTTTCTAATTGCAGTTCTTAAAGGTCTTAGAAGAGAGTCCACTCTGTACGTGTACACACACACACACACACACATACACACTTCTCACTCTTCTCCATCTTCATCCAGTGTAATCTGTCTTCCTTTCTACAACTTCACTGACTTCACTTTCAGCGGGGTCCTCAGAGATTTCCTTGTCACCAGTGTTTGGCAGCAATCTCAGTGTCACTGATTCATTCTTCCTTCTGGAAACCTCTTCTGTTAGCTTCCCTGAGTCCGGTGCCACCTCTCTGGTGACCGTTGCCCAGTGTCCTTTGAAGCTTTTCTTGTATTCCCACCACTGCCCCGTTTGATGTCCAGAGCATTAAGGAGCCCCTCCTGGTCCCTTTTCTCATTCAACATACCCAGGCTGGGTAATTGCAGCTACCTCCAGGATTTAATACCACCAGATTAGTGTGGCCTCCTCATTCTGAGCTCCAGACAAGGAAGTCTTTGGCCATTTCCAGCTTCATGAAGTGCTCTTTTCTCTTGGCTCCCCTGGTTCCAGAATGCCTTGGTTTTCTTTCTTTTTTTTTGGCAAATATTTCTCAGTCTTCTTAAATCTGTCACTTCCCTACTTAAAGCGCTTCAGTTCTTTGAATTCAGTGTGAACTAATAAACCCAATCATTCCTCCTCCCTCCTTGTCTAGATGCATCCCTCCTCACACCAGCTCTAGCTATCCTCAACTTATAAATCTTTCATTTCTTTCAACGCCTTGCTGTCATGTCTGTTGTTCCACATGTATAACTGTGACCTGAAGCCAGTTCCATTTTATGAATTCCAACCTCTGCTGGTCTAAGTAGTTACTCCAAATTTTTAGCACTTTTCTAATCCTTTTATATTTATATATATATATATATATTTTTTTTTTTTCTGTTAACTCTCATTTTATTTACTGTGGACTGCAGGCATAGTCTTGCCTCTTCTCTAGCTGGACAACTTCTTATTGCAAGCAGCTAGAGTCCAATTGTGGCAAGTGGACAAACTTCATCAGTTACAAGACAGAAGAATAGTCCTCTCTTCTAGCTATTGGAGAAGGTGATGGCACCCCACTCCAGTACTCTTGCCTGGAGAATCCCATGGACGGAGGAGCCTTGTAGGCTGCGGTCCACAGGGTCGCTAGGAGTCGGACACGACTGAGCGTCTTCACTTTCACTTTTCACTTTCACGCATTGGAGAGGAAAATGGCAACCCACTCCAGTGTTCTTGCCTGGAGAATCCCAGGGACGGGGGAGCCTGGTGGGCTGCCGTCTATGGGGTCGCACAGAGTCGGACACGACTGAAGCGACTTAGCAGCAGCAGCAGCAGCAGCAGCTCCTAGCTATTGACTTTGCAACCTGTTTTACATTAATAAAGAGGGGTGGGGGAATTCCCTGGTAGTCCAGTGCTAGGATTCCGAACTCTCGCTGCTGAGCACCACGGTTCAATCCCTGGTCGAGGAACTAAAATCCTGCAAGTGCAAGGCTCGACCAAAATTGAGAAAAAAGATTTTTTTTTTTGGAAGGAGGATAGAGATTGGGGAATGAGGGCATCATGCTGGAACTTTCTGAGCCTCTTCCTCAACACTTAACAATTTATCTATATGAGAACCCACCCAATCTTCCTTATTTTCTATTTTAGGGGAAGAAATGTGCCTCCACCTCTTTAAACCCAATCCAGTTCCTTCCGAGCTTTTCAGGAATGTGTTGTAACTAACTATTTTGTTGATACTGGCTTTTATCTCAACTAGTTTCACCCAGTGTTACACTCTTACACTCTTTAGAAAAGACAGTGCCTGACTTCACCTCTTATTATAGCCATGGACTCAGCTCTGCTTCCCTTCAGGTTCAAGTTTCTTGAAAGAGTGGCCAATAATGGACTATCCCCACTTCTTGTCCTCAGTCCATTACCATTAACTTCTCTTCCCAAAACTGATAAAATAGTTCTTGCTGACTTGCCAACAAGCTTCATGTTTGCCAAAACCAATCAGTGGTTTGTCGTCTTTATCTTTCAGTGAGCCCTTTTGTGACATTAGACACTGCTGATCACCCTCCTTAGATTTTTCTCTCCTTTGATCTACCTGATTCGAATTTGCCCCAAGTATTTCTCCCATCTTTCTAGCTTTTTCCTTTGCAGCTTCTTTGCTCTTCCCCCTTTCTTCATTTATTCATTCAACAAACATTTCTTGAGCTACATACACCCTGGAGCTGCAGTGATGAGTAGAATATAATTGCTGCCATCATGGGGTTTCCAGGGTTCAAAGAAAAGAGAGACAATTAAATAATCACACAAATAACTCTTAAATCCTTTGGAATTCTGGTGAATGCTGTAAGAGCCTGTGTTAGGGGCCTGCTCTTAGGGCACCTGAGATCTTAACGCATAAACGAGTCATCCATCAGACTGCACTGCCTGCCTTTTTGAATGTGAGACTTTGGTGAACGAATGCATACACATCTTAGTCATGCCCTTAATACTTAATATCTGTCAATCATACTTTTTCACGATCTGCTATTTCCAAATGAAGATAAATTTTTAGCCTTTTTATATACAGTCTCCTTCTCAGCCTCCTGTTAGTAGTGATATAGAGTCTTGGGCTTAAATACATTTTTGTAAAATTTCTTCAGTTTTGCCTTACTCAAGCAGCAGCAGAACTTCGCAGCATTCCAGGTGCCCATCTTTTTGAAACGGAATTCCATTTCACTGTCTTAAAGATCATATTTTTCACATGTAGCTATCTAAATTTAGATCTCATGTGTTAAAAATAGGCACTCTACCACAAGCACGTTGATGAATACTCCTCTTTGGTGTGTCATGTTGTGGAAGAGTACACAGTTGGTTTGAGTCTGACCATCATTTCATATTTTTTAAAAATATATATGTTTATTTGGCTTCACTGGGTGTTTGTTTCGGCACTCGGGATCTTCGATCTTCATTGTGGCATGCAGGATCCTTAGTTGTGGCACGCAAACTCTTAGCTGCAGCAGGTGGGATCTAGTTCCCCGACCCCTGCATTGAGAGCTCGGAATCTTAGCCACTGGACCACCAGGGGAGTCTCCATCAATTTCATAATTTTGACAGATGGTTTGTATTTGTTCTTTGAGAAAGCACTGAAAATCAGCATTGAAACTCTGGCCATCTGGGACTAGGGCCTTAACCTGTAAAACTGTCCATTGTTTTGTAAATGACTGTTGTCAAGGTGAGAAACCACGCCCTCCCGCCTCACCCACCCCTGTGTGCTTCCCTAGCTATTCTAAGAGCACAGAAAGAGACCATCCCTGGGGTAAGGTGAGTACCTCATCCCCGTTGGGACAGAATGATCTAAGGCACTGGTTCTCAACAGGGAATAGCTTTGTCCCCAAATCTTGGGGACATCTGGCAATGTGTGGGGACTTTTTTGATTCTCACAACTGAGTAGGTGCTACCGGCATCTAGTGACCCAAGGATGTTGCCAAACATCACACAGACCCCCATAACAGAGAATGATCTGGTCCAAATGCTAATAGTATCAAAGTTGAGAAATCCTAATCTAAGAAATAATGGAAACATAACAATTTAGTCACCTCTGTAGCATAATCATAAGGGATTTGATTTAGGTCTTACCTGAATGGTCTACTGGTTTTCCCTACTTTCTTCAGTTTAAGCCTGAGTTTTGCAATAAGGAGCTGACAATCAATCAATTCTAAAGGAAATCAACCCTGAATATTCATTGGAAAGACTGATGCTGAAGCTGAAGTTCTAATACTTGGGCTGCCTGTTGTGAAGAGCCGACTCATTGAAAAAGACCCTGCTGCTGGGAAAGACTGAGGGCAGGAGGAGAAGAGGGCAACAGAGGATGAAATGGTTGGGTGGCATCACTGACTGAATGGACATGAGCTTGAGCAAGCTCCTGGAGATAGTGAAGGACAGGGAAGCCTGGCATACTGTGGTTCATGGGATCACAAAGAGTCAGACACAGCTTGGTGACTGAAGAACAGCAACAACAATTTACTGACTGCACCTAGGAGAGATGCCAGAAACAGATTCACCTATTTCTAGTGAAGTACTCAAAACATATTTTTAATTTTAAAACATAATGATAGATTCGAGTTTTCTGGGGAAATGCGTAGGCTATTCATGTATTCAACAATGAGCTGTGTGTCACGATTTCAACTTTCAATAAGTCTTGGTCCCTATCCTCAAGGACATAATCCAGTCTGCAGTGGTGATCTTTAAACTTGAATGATGCAGCAGAATCTTCTGAAGGCTTATTAAAATCCACTGTGGAGCTCCACTGCCAGCTTCCGATTCAGTAAGTAGGTCTGAGGTGGGGCCTGAGAATCTGCATTTCTACAAATTTCCCAGTGCTGCCAGTGAAGCCTGTCCAGGGTAACACTTTGGGAACCATTGCTCTGGGGCACGCAGAGAAGAGAACACCCGTGGTTCTGCAGTGGACACCCATAATGCGTAGGTTGAAACCTTACTTAATGTGATAGTAGTAGGTGGTACTTAGGTCAGGAGGTGGAGCCCTCATTAATGGGGTTAGCGCCCTTATAAGACGAGGGAGCTTGCTTCGTCTCTCTCTCTGCTCTTCTCTTCGTGAGCATGGGTACACGATGACCAGCTGTTACCAGGAAGAGGGCTTCTGCCAGAAATTTATCATGCCAACACACTGATCTTGGGCTTCCAGCCTCCAGAACTGTGAAAAATAAGTGTTTGTTGTCTAAACCACCCAGGCTATGGTAATTTGGTATAGCAGCTAGGATAAAACATGTATTGAGGATTAACATTAGGAGTATGTGTGGGACACTAAGATTTGATTGTATCTGTCAGATCATCTTTGGAGGAAGAATTCATAGCCCATGGCTGCTGGAAATAGACTTGATGTTTCACTGAGAACTAGTATTATTGCTCAAAGCCCAGTTGTTTTAATTTATGTTTCTCTGGAGCTAGCAAGAGCTTCCCTGGTGGTTCAGTGATAAAGAATCTGCCTGCCAATGCAGGAGACTTGGGTTCCATCCCTGGGTCGGAAAGATCCCCTGGAGGAGGGCTGGCGACCCACTCCAGTATTCTTGCCTGGAGAATCCCACGGACAGAGGAGCCTGGTAGGCTTCAGTCTAAGGGGTCGCAAAGAGTCAGACATGACTTACCGACTAAATAACAATAAGAAATAATTACAGGGTCTTCCCTGGTGGTCCAGTGCCTAAGACTTTGAGCTCTCAGTGCAGGGGGCCTGGGTTCAGTTCTTAGCCAGAGAACTAGATCCTGTGTGCCCCAACTAAAGATCCCAAATGCTGAAAGGAAAGTCAAAGATCCTCTGTGCTGAAACTAAAACCCAGCACAGCCAAATAAATAAATACATATTTTTTAAAAGAAATAATTATGTACCAATTAGCTTTGTCATGGTTAATGAAGTTGTTTATCCTGGCATCGAGGCATTCTTTCCCCTAGAAGTGTTTTTGCAAAGGCTGGCTGTTGATAAAGTAGGATGGTAGCGGATTGGGCTAGATGACCTCCAAAGCCCTTGTAATTTCAAGGTGATTCTGTAAACCCAGGATTCTTTGATCAACTTGGCATTGGACACATACATGAGATATAAAGCATGATCTTTGCCCTTCATACTCAACACACACATAAAAAATAAATAACAGCACAAAATAATACAGACTAGGCATTAGCTTTATAGCCCTGGAACTTGTGTTGAGGATCACTATGATTTTATTTAGAATTAAATTCCTAGAGATTACTTTATTTAGGCTGATGTTCAGCAACCAAAGGATTTTTTTTTTAATTATTAAGGTTGGGGGACTTATTTCCATTAGAACACTGCCTGTATAAAAATAAAGATGAAAATGTGGGGAAAAGGTAAACTGGCAAAGTGTGAAATTCAATGGAAGTTTTATTAGCCTATAAAATCATGTTCTATAATTATTACTCTCCCCTACTATGCATGTTTAAAATATTTACATGAAATCATTAAAAGCTATGATGTTAAAAACATTAGAATATGAATTTGTTTTTAATCTGTTGTGTAAGTAAATTAATTTGCCTTAAGAATTCAATAAATTGTTTTAATGAATTATCTCTGAAGACTTGCTAGTGCCTCCTGATTTTTGACAAGTGTGGTAGCTCTTTCTAAAAGTTGCTCTTTTTCTGAGGTCTTTGCAACTTTCCAACACTTCTCCTGTTGAGAAAGTAGAATTTTTCTTCTGAATGATTCTCATTTCCCACTAGGTGTATAAGCAACCTGGAGTATTTTATGAGATACAGATAAATATTTCAAGCATAGTAATCCCTATACTTTCTGGTTTGACTATGGTTTTATGACAATGAATAGAGGGGTTTTTTTCTTTAATATTTATTTATTTGGCTGTGTCGGGTCTAGTAGCTCTGTGGCATTTAGGATCTTAGTTCCCTGACCAGGGACTGAAGCTGCATCCCCTGCATTGCAAGGTGGGTTCTTAACCACTGGGCCACCAGGGAAGTCCCTGAATAGAGGTTTTGATTAGGACTACATCTGAGGTCCCAAGGCTTTGAAAATCTTACAACAACATATTCCTATAAGATATCGATGCTATACTTCTTCAGTTTCTCACCTCCAGATTGAGATTTTCTTCCTAAAATTTAGATTTACTAAGTTATGGGCTTCTCAGGTGGCGGCAGTGTTAAAGAATCCACCTACCAATGCAGGCAAGAAACCCAAGAGACTCAAGTTTGATCCCTGAGTTGGGAAGATCCCCTGGAGTAGGAAATGGCAACCTGCTGTAGTATTTTTGCCTGAAAAATTGCATGGACAGAGGAGCCTGGAGGGCACCAGTCCATGGGGTCGCAAAAAGTCAAATGCAACTGAGCACTCACACACAGGTTACATTATATTGTGAAATGTGGTTTGCCTTTTCCTGAATTTTGGATGGTTATTTTCAAAAATGATCTTATACATTGTTTATTTCGGGTATTAGTATATTTGGTGCATTCGTTAAAACTTTGGTTGCTAATAAGCCTAACTAACTAAAATTAGCCAATGCAAAAAAAGAGATATAAACAGAAGAATATAGCTGGGCCTCAAGAAGGGCATGGATGCTGGAACTGGGAGCCATCAAGACTTCGGGAAGCTCTGAGTCCTGTCTGTTGCTTGTTTCTGCTGCTTCATGACATACCATAATGAAGCACTATGCTTCACATTTGCTCCTTTAAAAAAAAAAAAAACAACCTGTTCTCTGTTTTTTAAAAGTATTTATTTATTTACTTGGCTGTGCTGGCTCTTAGTTTTGGCACACAGGGGTCGTTTTTAGTTGCGGCACTCGAACTCTCAGTGGCAGCTTGTGGAACCTAGTTCCCTGACCAGGAATTGAACCTGAGTCTTAGCCACTGGACCACTAGGGAAGTCCTGCCTCTTTCTGTAGACTAGATTTTTGTGCTTCTTCATCCATATGGCTGAGTATGACCAATTCACACAGCCTGGGTTTATATTTTGTAGCTAAAGCCACATGAGAAGTTAACTACCTATTTTTTTTAATCTGAATTTCAGTTTCCTGAAATAGAGAATCTACTCACAGTCCAATCAGCTCTAGTTAGAGGGGAGAATCACGAAGTTTCCCAGTAAAAATGTGAGCACATGAGCACACACCCAAGAAACTGAGGCGGGGGAGGAGTGTTAAGTTTTAAGAGAAATGGAAAGCAAGAAGATGGTTCCTAGGATGAACAGATATCCAGCATGTTTTTTTATGTTTGTTATTAGTCTACAGATTTATGTATATATACACACACACTATATGTGAAGAAGGGAAGGAATTTTTATTTATTTATTTTTTTAGCCATGCCACACGGTATGTGGGATCTTAGTTGTGGGATCACAAACCCAGACTGTGTGCTCAGTTGCTTCAGTCGAGTCTGACTCTTTGCGACCATATGGATTGAGCCAGGCTTCTCTCCCCATAGGATTGTTCTGGCAAGAATACTGGAGTGGGTTGCCATGCCCTTCTTCAAGGAATCTTCCTGACCCAGGGATCAAACCTGCGTCTCTTATATCTCCTGCACTGGCAGGCAGATTCTTTACCACTAGTGCCACCAGACCAGGATCAAACCCTTCCCTTCTGCAGTGGAAGCACAGAGTCCTAATTACTGGACTGTCAGGGAAGTCCCAGGAAGAAATTTTTAATTTCTAATTATCACAATCCTACAAATCCTCATTATAAGCTGAAGAAAGTGAGATGGAAGTTAAATTACCAGCTCCAGATCGTAGCTGGTGAATGACCAAATTTGGGTTCAAATCTGTCTGATTCCCAAACCTGTGTTCCTGTCCCTTTATCAAAATGGTGCTGGTCTGGATTCCCCTGAAAGCAGACTGTCCCAAAGACTTGAGTGCAAGTAGTTTGTTTGAGAATTGACCCCAGGGAACAAACTGTGAGAGACAAGGGAAATGACCCCAGCAAGGAGGGAAAGCCCATCCATGGATCCTCTTCAAATGGCAACCATTGTCTACATCTACTGGGTTTCCCAGGTGGTACTAGTGGTAAAGAATTGGCCTGCCAATGCAGGAAACATAAGAGATGTGGGTTCAGTCGCTGGGTTGGAAAGATCCCCGGGAGGAGGAAATGGCAGCCCACTCCAGTATTCTTGCTGCGAGAATCCCGTGGACAAAGGAGCCTGATAGGCTTCAGTCCATGGGGTCACAAAGAGTTGGACACAACTGAAGCTACTGAGCATGCATGCTACTGGACCCTGTAGGAGTTTTTGAGTCACCTTACATAATACGCCTCAGAATGAGACACCCTGGGGTCAGAAGTGGGGGAAGCATTTTTCCATGAGCTCCTGTCTCTCAATGGACAAGGGTGGCCCTAGAGAGCTTTACAGCCTGGTTTCCAGATTGTGCGTGCCATATTGAAGGCCAAATGGTTCTCACTGGAATCCTTTGCTCCCACTCCAGCATAACCCTGGGGCCAGAAACGGGAGTTCACAGCACAGGCTTAAAGCAAGGTGCTGTCAGGTTTTATCTGCACAAGGCTAGTAAAAGCCTGTGCCGGACGGACACCAGTGGCAGCCTTTGAAATAAGAGGTGAAATTGAGGAGACGTGAGTAGCACCCAGAGGCTGTGAGACACATTGACCAGTTAAAATGAGAGAGTGGAATGCGCATCTCAAATGTTCATTCATTCATTCGTTCATCCGAATGCCAGGTACTCATGGTGTGCAGGAGATAGTTGAAATGAGTCTAGGTGAGCTTCAGATACTGCAGAAAGGAAAGACACAGTGTGATAGTGTTTTATGGAGTTGCTTCCATAAAAATATGCTAAGGGCAATAAAAACAAGGAAT